GTCCTGCTAAGATCTCTTCCCAACCACTTTTTTTCCCATTATTTCCCTTGAGATTCTGAGTCTTTTGTTCCTCCAGATGAATTTTGTTCTAGTTCTGTTGATAGTTTGGTGTGGCACTAAATAAGTAAATTAATTTAGGTAGTTCTAGTGGGGTGATGGGACCTGGGCCCCTGAAAGGAAAAGACCATGTCTTTGAATGCAGCCCAGTCCCTGAACTTTCCCACACACAACCCAGGCCCTGGCGTTTTCCCTGAGGCATATGGCCCATCCCAGACCAGGGAGATACTCAATAATCCTTTTAACTGCCCTTTCACTATGGCTCTCCAGCCACTTAACTCCTTCCATCGTCTGCACCTGGACCACCCCAGGCTTACCACTCCTTAAGCCCATCCAGATCTTCTCACTATCTTTTCTTATATATAAGTATCAGTCTTATCCCTACCAAACCACAGATTCACTTAGAATTTAGCCCTCTGTTGGTGATACTGAAAGAAGGTTTAGAAAGTTTCTCCAATTATTTATGTTTCTGTTTCTGTAAACAGTGGTTTGTAGTTGTATTTAGATGGTTCCTGGTTGTGTCTTGACAGACTCCTCAGGTATTATATACATTCTGTAGTTATTTTAAATGAAATTTCTCTTTCTGTCTCTTCTTGCTGAGTTTTATCGGCAATAGGCAGGAATGCCGATGATTTATGTCAATTGATATCTGCAACTTCACTGAAGTTATTAATTGTCTCAATTACTTTCTAAGTGACTCTTTAGGATTCTGTAAGTATACAAGATGATCTGCGAAAAGTGATAATTTTATTTCTTCTTTGACTATGCTTATTCCCTCATTTTATTTTTTTTGTCTTATTGCCATAGGATTTCTAGTACTGTATTTAAAAAGTGGACAATGGACCTTGTTTCTTTGTTCTTGATCTTATTGGAAAGAATTTTAATTTAATTTAATTTATTTTTATTTATTCCTACTACATTTTGGTTTTAGACATACACTATTTATCACGTGAAGGAAAAAATCAGTTTAGTCCTATGTTTTCTACCATTTTTTATTTCAAAAATTTTTTTTAAATCTATACTTAAAAAATTTAAACACTAGATCTCATTATCTTGCGCTGAACAGCAATGTATAGGCCATTCATGATTGGCACAGGAGTTTTGACCTGCTCTGTTTCTGAGCTACGCCAGTTCGTTCCTCCTTAGGCAACTTGTTAGCCCACTGCTACTAATAGAGTGCTCACCATATTAATACCAAACATTGTGGACGCCCAATTGGCTTAGCCCACTGAAGCTCAGTGATCCATCAGCCTAAGCCTCCCTGGTAGCAAGGAATACAGATGTACACTACCATGCTGAGCTTTTTTACTCTGTGTGTGTGTGTGTGTGTTTAATAGAAGTGGGTGTTGTATTTTGTCAAAAAATTTTCCTGTATTTGTTGATATAATCATGTGATTTTTGTTGGTCAATCATATTTTTTCTCATATTAAACCAATCTGGCATTCCTGGTGTAAATCCAACTTGGTCATAGTGTATAATCTTTGTAACATGTTGCTGTAGCATCTTTGCTAATATTTTATTTAAAATGTGCGTATTTTGCAAAGAAGTTCATTAGGGATACTGCTTTGTAGTTTTCTTTCTCTGTTTCAACTTTCCATGGTTTTGGTTTCAATATCATATTTGTAGCAAAGAAGTAATGTATAAAGATCTCCCTCCACACTTTTTTTTTTGCTATTTTTGCAAATAATTTGTTTAATATTGGAATTAATTGATCATTGAATGTTTGATAGAGTTTGCTTATAAATTCATCTGTTCCAAGAGTTTTTTCTTTGAGAATTAATTTATGGCTTATTAAGATTATTTTTTGGATATTGAGTTGTTTAAATTATCTACCTTTTGTTCTGTTAATTTGTACATTTCATATTTTAAAAATATTCACATATTTCATATTGTCACTTTTATTGGCATATGGTTGAGTAAAATAGCTTCTAATAATATCCTATATTTCTTTATTTGTTGTAACTTCTCCATTTTCATTTTTATACTGGTAATTTGGTTTCTTTTTAATCAAATCAGCTGATGGCTTACATATGTTTGTATGTTGTTGCTTTTTAAAAATATCTCTTAATTTTATTTATTAATTCCATGGTTGTTTTCCATTTTGTTAATATTTTCTTTGATTTTCAAGGTTTCTACTTTGGTGTTTAATTTTTTTTTTAATGTACTGATATCTAGTGGGGGTTTTTTAAGTGCATGCCTAACTCTTTGATTTGTTCTTTGGTTGATAAAAGTATTTATAGACATAAATTTTCTTTTCTGATTGCTCATTTGCTGTTTTTTTAAATATTTTTTCTTGACTTGTGTTTGTATTTCAAAGTTTCTATTCAGCTCCTTTTTTAAAAAAAAATTTAAATCAGGAATGCTTGGAAGTCCTCTATTTCTCCTGTAGGATTATTCTCAGTTTTGTTGGATACTAAGTTATTCTTGGTTGTAGGCTTATAACTTTTGCCTTTTGGAATATCTCATTCAATGCTCTCTGTTCCTTTCTGGTGATAACTACTGAAGCTTGTGTGATGCTGACTCTGGTTCCTTGGTACTTAAATTTTTTCTTGCCAGCTGCTTGCAGAACTTTTTCTTTGACCTGGAAGCTCTGAATTTTGGCTACTAAATTCCTGAGAGCCTTTTTTCCTTTTTTTTTTTTTTTTGTAAGTATTCAGTGTTGGGTTTTTTTTTAATTTTTCACTTTTTCCTCTTGTTCTAATATGTGTAGGCACTTTTCTTTCATGATTTCTTGAAATATGATATCCAGGTTCCTTATTTATTTATTTATTTTTTTAGCCAGGAGGAGGAGGATTAGTTCATGGATTACAGGTAGTCCTCTTAATCTATTTTCCAGGGCATGAGATTTACATTACATTTTCTTCTATTTTTAATGCTTAGATTTTGTTTTAGTATTTCTTATTGTCTTCTGGAGTTAGATTTTGTTTGGCTCATTTTAATTTTCAAGTAGTTTGTCACCGAGCTTAGAATTTGTACTTCTTTTTATTTATTTGTTTGTTTATTTATTTATTTAAGGATGTGTACTTCTTTACTAAGCTGTTAATTCTCCCTCCAAGTCTCCCTTCCATAACTCTCATTTCTTTTCCAATTCTTTCCTCTATTACTTTCATTTAATTTATAACATAATTTTATCTTTTTTTTTTTTAAACTCTTGCATCATTTCTTCTAGGAATTCTAGTTGAACTTGTAGGCAAATTGTTTTTGTCTTTGAGGTTTTGCTTGCAAGTGTTTTAGAGCTATTCTTCTGGATTTGTGTCTTGGGAATTCCGGGCATCATCATAGCTCTTTATCTTTTTGTTGTTTACTTATTCTTCCAGCCTTCCTTGATTAGGACTTTTTGTTAGGGCTAGGTTCTGAATATTTCTGTTGTGGCCTTGAATAAATCTGGCCATTTTTATCTATTGTCCTCCTTCGAAGGTCAGAATGACAGCATTGCCAACCCATTCTTCATCAGGGTCTGGCTCCAAGGTTTCCTCTCTCAAGTTACGACAAAGCTAAAGTCAATGAACCTGGTGGCTGAATCGAGGGTCTTATATACTCCTTAATTACAATAATAACAAAAATGACAACAACAATACCTAGCATGTATATAGTATCTAGTATGTGGCAGGTACTGTGCTAAGTGCTTTACAAATATCCAGGCATTGGGATCTGAGTAACTGTGATGAGGCCCTGATCTTCACCCAAAGGCCAAGTCTCAGATCCACTCCTCCAGATATGAGACAGCGCTGAGGCGCTGCTTCTTGACCAAGAGTGGAGTCTCAGAATGCTCTTTAGGAGACTGGCATTAGGGAGCCCTGAGGCCCTGCTCTTCACTTGGGGATTGAATCTTGGATGGTTCCTCCTGGGATTGGAGAGATAGATCTGTGGTTCCCAGGGGACTAATTGTGTGGTGATTAATTAGGGACTGACTTGCATAGAGATCAGGATCTGGGCTGCATGGCTTCCTCTTACTTTGCTGTCTTGGCTCCTCCTATACTCAGTCTTTATAAACTTTAAAACAACATATAAATATTGACTGCAAACCGAATATAAGCAGACAGTGTGGTATGACAGGCAGTAGCCCTTTCCTCTCTTTCCACTTCCCAAAAACCCGAATGTGATTTTAGGTTGCAGGAAGATATAGTCGCACCAAATACTGGCCCGGTCAGACTCCATTTGGAGTATTATGCTCAGCTCTGGGCATGACATTTTGGAATAACATTGACCAGATGGAGTTTGTCCAGAGGAAGGCAACCACAGTTGTGAGAAGGTCATGTGATAATAGGATGAATGGAAAGTGCTGGGACTGTTTAGCCTGAAGAAGAAAGGACTTGTGGGAAAGGCAATATATCTATCCTCAAATATAGAATATCCCAAAAACTTTAGTGTCATTTTAAGCAATTAAAGCTTAAACTTTAAGTTTTAAGTCATTAAAGCTTAAAACAGCACTAAGTCTTTTGGGATATCCTGCATTTGAAGGGCCATCATGTGGAAGAGGAAGTAAGTTCATTTTACTGATTCCCAGAAAGAGGAAGGAACCATTTGTTGCTGAGAAGTAATTTTAGCTCAATATAAGGAGAAAGTTCTTAACAACTAGGTCTGCCTATAAATGGAATGAAATGCCTTTATAGATAGTGAGCTCCTTGCCATTAGAGGTCTTCAAACCAATGATTGATGACCACTTGTCAAGGATATTGCAGAGGGATTTCCTGCTCAAGGGTAGGTTACTTTGGTTGCCCTCTGAAGTTCCCTTCAGCTCTGAGATTCCGTGATTTTGAAAGTTCTAAGCTTCTAATATTCTGTGAACCTGGGATTATTAATCCAAATTGGCTTAGGATAAATTCCTAAGGCAGGTGTGTCTCTTCCCTCCAGGATTGAGTCCATACTTCATTATGGGATTCAATCACCAAGGACACTCTCACCCCTTTTTCCCAGAAAATAAGAGGCATCACACAAAACAATGTTGACACACGGCCTTAGCTTTATAGCATCTCCCAGGCTGGCTCCAAGTAGCAGCTCCTGGCTGATCTGGGCCAGGTATGTGAGATAGGGTGGGGGAAATATATGTTATTTACTGTCTATGAAGTTCTTCTGTCTTATAAGGATTGCTCCAGGGACCAGCACAGCAATGTTGGCATTGGGTTGCTTCTTTCTCCATTTTGGAAATCCAACATGGGCTTTCTGTGATACACACAAGTACACGCATTAACAGAGTTTGTCAGAAAACTCTCAACCAACTTTCCAATAGTTTTATTTTCTAACGATCTGTGTTTTTTATTTTTCTTCAATTATCTATAATTTTCAAAAATATTCATGTGCCTCTTTTCTCTTTTTCCTTTCTTTTTTTCCTCCTAATGATCTCTGTAGATTGCTTTTTCTATTACAAATGATTCAAATTAATTGTGGTGTTTTGTGTGCTCCATTTATCTGTGGATTTTAGATCATTTGTAGATCTTAGATATAGGTTTATATTATCCGTAGATTTAGATTGTATTTGGATTGCTCATAGCTTTGGATTATCTATGGGGTTGGGTTATCTGCAGACTTGGATTATCTGTGGGTCTATCTCAATGAGTCTTTTGTTGGCTCTGATTATTAGGAACTAACTATGCCACTTTAAAGGCTGCCACCATGGCTCTGGGTACCAGTTCTATGCTCAGGCCTAAAATGCCCAAACGTAGCATTCTAGACAGCAAGGGAAGGAACAATCAATAGATGGAATAAAATCAGGGCATCTTCACTGGGCTAGCCAATGGTTACCTGGTGATTGTATATGTCTTTCCCATTGTTGTCAGCGTCATCTTGTCATCTTCCAAGGAATTGCAGTACAAGTGACGGTAAAACTGACCTGGGGAAAGCAGTCAGAGAGTGTGTCAGATGAAGAGGTAGTGAAAGGCCGACGAAGACAGAGAAAGAGAGAGAAAGCAAAATGGAAACTGAGATCCAGATATGGAAGAGAGAGAGAGAGAGAGAGAGAGAGAGAGAGAGAGAGAGAGAATGAATAATGGAAACAGAGTCACAAGAACACGGGGGAAATTAATTGAATTAATATCAAATTAATTAATTAAAAATTAAATAATAGAAACAGGTACAAGAACACAGAGAAAAATGGAGAGGTAGAGACACAGAAACAGAGGCAGAAAGAGTAAGAAATAGGCAGGAAAAAGAGAAACAGAGAAAGACAAAGAGAAAGAAGGAAACAGAAAAGGAGAGACAAAGAGGGAGAAAAATAATTCAGTCTTTAATGCCAAGAATGAAACAGCTCAAGCAGCAAGCTCAAGTAACAGCTTATAAAGGCAAATAGAAAGTGGAAGGTGATCAGAAAGTAGAGCGGGAAGGCAGGAGGATGAGGAGGGTCACAGAAGGAATGGGCAGGAAAAGGTGATTTTTAGAGAAGGGGATGGACATAGGAGTAGGAAAAGGTATGTATGTGTGTACGAGAGGTGGAAAAGTTGGTCACAGAAATAGTCAGGGAGGCATGAGGGGATATGAACAGGGTACATGCTATACTGAGAAGCCCACCATCTTAGCTAGGGAATCTGAGGAGATGAGGGGGATGAGGGGCATTCACAATGGCAGAAGCCTGTCAGCATGGACACAATTAGAGAATGAAGGGTAGACAGGGGGATAGAGGAGATGATCAAGGGTCGGGGAATGATAATAATGAAGGATCACAAAGGGAGAAAGGGAAGGAAGGGTAGTAGGCTGAATAGAGGGTGATGGTTGATCATAGGGGTAGGAATGCCCTGAGGGTGGAGAGTGTTCAGAAGAGAAGACGTTCATAGAGGGGGACATTCAGAATGTCAGAATTTGAGAAGGGTCACAAAAGAGCATAGTCAGAAGGTGATGAGAAAAAGGAGCTGATCAGAGACATAGTTGGTCAAGGACCTATAGGGATCTGTGGATAGGGTCCAATCATACCAAGGATCCCACTGACTTTCTCAGAAAAGTGAACTGTATTCTGCAGAAAGAGATGGAGTCCAGGGATGAGATGACTCAAGGACACCAGACCAATGGTGACTTTTTTGGGGGCAATGAGCCGCAAGGCACGATTTTCCGTGATTATCTTCAGCCTGTGGAAAAACCAAGCCACAAATAGGGTAGATGGAGGACCCAAGAGCACAATTCTAGAGACTAGTAGTCAGAATGGGGTTTCCTGCCTCTCTAGTATAAGATAAGTAGACTTTGTGTGAAAACAAATCTCCCAAAAGACTCTAATATCCAATATCCAAGAATTCCCACAGGGGCCTCCAGATCTTGTGCATGGGGACCTAGATGATCTTGCTAAGCTAAAATTGCTACCTATTCACTATAATCTTCTAATCTTTGCTCCAAACCCAACCACCAATAACCTCAGGCTTCAATACTACCACTTTTTATTTTTTATTAATTTATTTTTAGTTTTCAACAATCACTTCCATACTCTTTTAAGTTTTAAATTTTTCTTCTCCTTCCTCCCCTCCCTCCCCAAGACAGTGTGCAATCTGATATAGGCTCTACATATACATTCCTATTAAACATATTTTCACATTAGTCATGTTGTAAGGAAGAATTAGAATTAACAGGAGGAACCACAAGAAAGAAGAAACAAAACAAAACAAGAAAAAAAAAAGGAGCAAATATTATGTTTCAATCTACATTCAAACTCCATGGTTCTTCCTCTGAATGTGGATAGCATTTTCAATCACATGACTTTTGGAGATGTCTTAGATCCTTGCATTGCTGAGAAGAGCTAAGTCTATCAAAGTTAGTCGTTGCACAACATGGCTATTACTGTGTACAACGTTCTCCTGCTTCTGCTCACTTCACTCAGCATCAGTCCATACAAGTCTTTCCAGGTTTTTCTGAAGTCCGCCTGCTCATCGTTTCTTATAGCACAATAGTATTCCATTACATTCATATACCACAACTTGTTCATTCATTTCCCAATTGATGGACATCCCCTCAATTTCCAATTCTTTGCCACCACAGAAGGAGCTGCTATAAATATTTTTGTACATGTAGGTCCTTTTCCCATTTTGATACAGCCCTAGAAGTGCTATTGCTGGGTCAAAGGGTACGTACATTTTTATAGCCCTTTGGGTATAGTTCCAAACGGTTCTCCAAAATGGTTGGATCATTTCACAACACCACTAACAATGTATTAGTGTTTCAATTTTTCCACATCTTCTCCAGCATTTATCATTTTCCTGTTTTGTCATGTTGGCCAATCTGATAGGTGTGATGTGGTACCTCAGAGTTGTTTTGATTTGCATTTCTCTAATCAATAATGATTTAGAACATTTTCATATGACTATAGATGGCTTTAATTTTTTCATCTGAAAATTGCCTTTTGTATCCTTTGACCCTTTATCAATTAAGGAATGACTTGTATTTTTGTAAATTTGACTTAATTCTCTATATATTTTAGAAATGAGGCCCTTATCAGAGATACCAGTTGCAAAAATTCTTTCCCAGTTTTCTGCTTCCCTCCTAATCTTGGTTGCATTGGCTTTGTTTGCTTCACTACCACTACCACTACTACTACTACTACTACTACTACCACCACTACTACTACTACCACCACTACTACTACTAC